AGAAACTTTGGTGCTGCGTCAGTAGTAGTCATAAGGTAATATTGATTTTATCAACTGAGTTGGCCAATTTATATTTTACATTTAAAACCAACAATATATGTTGCAGCACCAAGGACAATTACTCATTGTGTAAAATGTGATGATATGTTCGCAGTCCCCTAACATGAAAATACATTTTGGGGCGGAATAGTACAGTCATCCCTTTTTTGCTCAACTAATTCCCATGCAATAGAGAAAGAGAGTTAATATTTAAAAAAATCGAAGTTTTATTTCTTTTTTTTTTACCTCACTTCATCGTTCATTTGCGCCAGGTTTGTCAGAGCCATGAGAGACTCAAACTGTTGCAAGGCCTGCGAGGTAAACAAAATTACAAAAATCAGAAATCATTAAAAAATTTCCAAGAATATACCACAATGAAAGCAAAGAAGAAAATTTCTCACCATTTTCGATGGATGCAGTAACTTCAACAGAGGACGAACCAAGCCGAAAGACTGTCAAGATACGAAATATATCACTCATTAAAATAATCAGTCTTGAGTTAGAAATAAATGCGTTCCTATAAAGCTTTCATAATTGCGACAAGGGTGGGACAATTTTCACGATAGTGGACGTGCAGTTGGGAAGGCAAAACTCATCAACCATATTCCTTACTCTTTGTCCAGGAAATGCAACTTCCGGGTTCATAGTGATAGCAATTTTAGCCACGGATTGCGCTGCAAAGTCTGCTCCTTTCTCTGTGTTTTGGGCAGCAAGGGAGATCAATGTCTAGAGGAAAGACTAAACAGTGAGCATTATGTGGAACATATAATCATAATGATTGAGAGGGACGACAAAACTGACTGCTTCATACAAACACCCTCCCCTCCTTTTGCTTGCCTAAACTCCACCTTGCACCCTCTCCTCCCTTTCCCTTAACTCCACATTGCACTCTCCCCCCCTTTGTTTGCCTTAAATCCACCTTGCACCCTCCCCTCCCTTTGCTTACCTTAATTCCACCTTATACCCATCTCTTCCTTTGCTCTCCTTAACTCCACCTTGCACCCTCCCCTCCCTTTGCCTTAAGTCCACATTGCACCCTCTCCTTCCTTTGCCTTAAGTCCACACTGCACCCTTCCCTCCCTTTGCTTACCTTAACTCCGCCTTGTTGCACAGTGACACCTCTGTGTTCTTGCTCATTTGTTATTCCCATAAAAACTCTAAAGGCAAACAGTAGAAAGTTTTCCTTACACTTTTGTTGAAACCCTGGTCAAAGCTCAAAGCGTGTAATTATTTAACCCTTTCATTCCGAATATCCAAATTTTAAACCCC